AGCTACAGGTCATAGCATCAACTTCAATGGCACCAAAACCCTGGCCACTATGGAAAACCCTAGCCACAGAGTCATCAGAGAAGCCATAGAGATTGAAAAAAGACCAGAAAGCATGAACAGAAGAGATTATTCCACCAGGCTGTCAATCATTTGGAAGCCTGCACTCACAAACAAAAAAATCTCCACACCACAAGCCAGGCAAACACCTGGGCACAAACAGATCCCCCCTGATACCTCCAGCTCAAACACACCCCAACCAGGCACCCAGATGAAACCCAGCTTCCTAACTAATGATAGCCGTCCATTTACCCGAAGCCAAGCTGCACTAAAGACCTCCATTAAAGTAACACAATGCTGCCAGCCAATCAAGATACAAAAAGAGCCAAAAAACAGACAGAAGATATCAGAGACACCCATCAAGCAGAACACAGCAAACTCCGAGACCAATAAACACAGACCAAGACTCCCAACCAATCAGGATGAAGAAATCTAATCTGATTTCTTTTAGATTCCAGTAGATTCATATAATTATAGAACCATGTAGTTTAAAGCAGCCATTTAGGCTACAGACTCCAACTTATTCCTCAGTTCAGGATTGAAAATTTTGTTTGTTAGAAGCATTCATACAGATAACTTCCATCCTGATTTACTAGTTTGTACTCATGTGAGGTGAGATAAGAATTTATGTAGCCCTATTGGCATAAAACCATGACATCCCGAGCTGCACTAAATGAAGGTATGTTGATGTGAATGTTAACATCCTTCCAGAGGGCAAATCAACAGAAGGTTTGAGAAAATTTTTAGGTTAGATAAGAGAATGGTTACATACAGGGGTGGGATGCTACCGGTTCTGCCCGGTTCTATAGAACTGGTAGCTCTGAAGAGCAGCAGACACAGAATTGGTTCTGTGTTTGTTGCTGTTTGGCCCACCCACCTGCCCAGGCTCTTACCTGTCCTTTATTTCCTGCTTTTTCAACCTCAGCTGCTTTGCATGGCACAGGTGAGGTTGAAAAAGCAGGAAAAAAGAGGCTTTTCAAATGCTGCGCACCTGCGTGCAGTGCTTTTCAGCTGTCCGGACGGCACAGCTGATGTTTTTTTTACATGCATACTTCAGTGCATCAGGCGTGCCATGCGTACGAAGCGTGCATGCACGCGCAAAACGTAGTCACCAAACTGGTAGTAACACTGGTTGAATCCCACCCCTGGTTACATAGCAGAAATAGTAAAAATGTGTGTTCTGTTTGTACAACCTTTTTCTTTCTCTCTGATAGTTATAAACAGTAATCTATCAAAATATTAAATGAATATAATTATAATATATATAATATATAATGTGTGTGTGTGTGTGTGTGTATGCACACACACGCACACGCACATATCATTACACTATAATCTGATAACACTCACTTGAATATTGGGGCATATTGGACAGGAGTTCTCAATAAGGGATGGATCATAAATTATCATGTAATTCCACTTATCAGCCATTGTCTGAGTTTACTACTAAGTTTGGAAAACAGTAATTTTTGGAAAAACATTAAATCATTTGTTTTACTAAAAAGATTTAATTGGTCATACAATTGTTCAATTTATTTTGTTGCTTGCTTGCAAAAAAATAAACTGTTTTTAAAATCATTTTTTTCTTATTTCTTCAATGTAGATTGAATGGTTCTTATGAGGCTTTGATTGATGGAACCTTGACAGAAGCTTTTGAAGATTGTACTGGTGGGATCTGTGAATCGTATAATCACAATTCAGCTCCCCCTAAATTGTATCAAATAATCCAAAAAGCTTTGCAAGCTGGTTCATTGTTGGGCTGCTTCATTGTAAGATGGTTACTTTTCTTTTTTAATGTCCTTGTTTGCGTTCTTATTAAGACAGCTTATGCAGTCCACTACAGCTTGATCTTGAGAATGTAATGGGTAAGCTGATTTGATGTCCAGTATTTTACTTGGTCAAAGCAGTGCAGAAAACATGACTTATGTGTTGTTGTTCCACCAATTTCACCATTGTAATCGGTGAGGCCATTGACAAAATATGATGTGTTGTGCTACTTTCTCCACAGTGCAGCAGGATGCTGATAGTTGCAATTAGATGAAACATTAATTTAGAAAGTATTTATGTCAGATAAATTAGAGAGTTTGTATGGACTTGAGTGAACTTTGGATCAGATTAATAGGAATTATTGTTGTTGTTAGTTGTGAAGTCGTGTCTGACCCATCACGACCCCATGAACAACGTTCCTCCAGGCCTTCCTGTCCTCTACCATCTTCTGGAGTCCATTTAAGCTCACACCTACTGCTTCAGTGACTCCATCCAGCCACCTCATTCTCTGTCATCCTATTCTTCTATTGCCCTCAATAAGGAATACACTTGTTCTTTGTAAGAGAAAGCAACATGTACTCCCACAGATTAAGAAATTTGCTATTTTGATTAAGATTGAGTCCTCAGTAGCTATTTACTTTAGTCTGGCATTGCTGTCCTTTGTTTACTCACTATTTGCAGACAATTCAGAAGATGTTGTCAGCTTGTGGGAGTCATTTACTGAGTGTGTGACCTAATGCAGATATTTTAAATCTGACAAGTTTATTTTCACAAACATAACTTTGAAAACCTGGGGAAATTGAAACATGCGTAGGAGTTTCAATACAAACTGCATTTCCCCTGATGTTTTCTGGTATAAATTGCTGCTTTTGGAAATGCTTTCTTTTATAAGAAATTGCTAGCTATGTGTACTTGTATATGTGCCTGTATGAAAAAAAAATAAGATATTACCTCTGTTACTATTTATTTTAGTCCTGCTCTGAAAAATAGTGTGTGATGGAATTCTATTTTGAATGATAGTTTGAATGATACAACAACATGGAAGGCAGGGAAGAATCCCCCCTTTTATCAATACAGGAAGAGAGTTCAACTCCTTGCGATGATGTTAGAGTTTTGAGCAGCTCTTAGCTGAAGAATCTAGTTGATGGATTGCTTGAATCAACATATTCTGCTAATATTATAAAACTGTTAGAATAACAAAAACATAAGTACAACCACCAGCAAAAGTGCAGTAAAACAGCAAATCCACCTTTTACAATCACCCAGGCAATTCATGGATTTTTACCCTTGTGAAACTGAACGCTTTCCAAATCCACATGTTTTTCCTCTTCAATCAGTGTAAAAGTTGTTGTGCTACCTTTTAGATATGCCCTATTGACCATCAGTTTAGTTTAAGGAAATACATCCCTTTGGTTTACATCTATTCATTCAGTGATCATTCAAAGTTATGATGGCATTGAAAAAAAATGGACTTACGAAAGGTCCTCAATGTTGCAGTCATCACAGTGTTCCCATAGTCAAGTGACCAAAATTTGGAAACTTAATGACCGTCCCACATTTACAACAGTTGCAGTGTCCCATGGTCACATTCTTCTGTCCTGCAGGAACTATCTCCATTTCAACTTCCCTCACCCACCCATCTCACTCTATCTTTGCCCTTTTGGCTGCCCCTATAGCATAGACACTATATTACACCTCTGTCACCTCCCTGGCCTCTGATCTCAACTGACCTATGTTATTGTCTTTGGTTTGCTTCTTCTCCCCTTGGCTACCTCCGCTGCTGGCTCCCTAGCCTTTAGGCTCCTGGCGAGCCTGCCCTGCTTCAGCAGTCTAGGCTGCTGCTGGCTGTGGATTCATGCTGACAAGCTTGCTTTGCAAGGAGGATTTCACACTGGCCCATCCTGGACCTGCCTGATACCCAGGTGCAAAAGCCCTGACACAGTCTGCAGCCTGCATCAGCTTCTCCTTCTGCTTCTGCTTTTCTCTGCAAAGAGCCACCAACAACATGAGTCTCTCAGAGCTCGGTGGTGGACTTTGTATTGTGATAATAAGCTGAAGTGGAGGCAGTTCACACAAGGCAGGAAAAGTTCAAGATCTTCACCTAACAAACATTCCTGGCCAAATGAATACAATCTGGACTTCTGGGACTTCTGCTGATAGGTGTCAGAACCTAATGACACTTCTCAAATAACTAAGGACCAGAGGTGGTATTCAGTGGGTTCTGACCAGTTCTGGAGAACCGGTAGCGGAAATTTTGAGTAATTCAGAAAACTGGCAAATACCACCTCTGACTGGCCCCGCCTCCATCTATTCTCTACTTCCCGAGTCCCAGCTGATTGGCTGGGTCTTCTTTTGTTGCCCTGCACAGGAGAAGGGAGCTGGAAAGCAGGTTAGTGGTGTGGGGAGGGAATAGGGATTTTGCAGAAACCGTCCCCCAGGAGTGAGGAGGGAATGGGGATTTTACAGTATCCTTCCCCTGGAGTGGGGAGGGAATGGAGATTTTATAGTATCCTTCCCTTAGCATGCCCACCAAGCCATGCCCACCAACCCACACCACGCCCACCAAGCCATGCCCACAGAACCGATAGTAAAAAAATTTGAATTCCACCACTGCTAAGGATCTATTGTATAAAAGGTGACCAAATCTTGCTCTTAGTTGTCTGCCCAACTTCACAGAAAAGATAATAAATCTGGAGTCTCTAAACCCTAACAATTCAAGGAAATTTCGCTGTTTCTCTTTCCAATGTTGAGATTGGGATATCTGTTCCATCTTTACTTGTGGGTCCTGTCTGTCTTGAGATATGATGGTTTCTGCCTCACCAGCTTCAGTCCTTATATTACACCAAGATGATAAGATTAGATCTAATGGAATTTTACAATTCAATTGTATTAAGAAACATCTTAATAGTAGGAACATCTTGTTATTAAAGTCACTTCATGGAAATAAAGAGGCTTTCATACAATGGAGAGCTTCAAATATTTATGGGATGCTTAAGCTTGCGATTTCTAATTCTAAGAAGGAAGTTGGGCTAGATGATTCTCCAACTTTATGATTTTTTAAGACTTTCAAACAGTGTGCACTGAAACTAGAAATGTTTTGACAATAATTTTAATATGACAATAATTTTAATTTATTCCTAGAATACCAGTGAAAAAGTACAAAAAACAAGTAAGCAGCTGTTCTCACGCCATGCTTATTCTGTTACTGGAGCAGAAGAGGTAAAGATACAAATTTTCAAAACCTAATTTGCAACCAAATTAAAGCTCAGTAAAACATTTATTTATATTTATATTTATTTTTAGCCTGCTCCTATCCTGAAAGATTCTGGGTGGCAATTAACAAGGCACAAATCCTGGAATGATATAATTTTTTCCTTACAGGGAAAGTTGGGGTTGAGTTCAGGGAAGGAGTTTTTCCAGAGTGGGGTTATCACAGAGAATATACAGTATCATCTAGTCCAGGGATCCCCAACCCCCAAATCACAGACTAGTATAGTGAGGAAATGGGCTGCACTGCTGGACAATTACAGTAGGCGAGTGAGTGAAATTTCGTCTGTATTTGCAGCTGTTCCCCAATGCTGGCATGACCACCTCAGGTCCTCAGGCATTAGATTCTCATAGGGGCATGAGCCCTACTATAAACTGCACATGTGAAACATCTAGGTTGTGCACTACTTATGAGAATCCAATACCTGATAAATGCAGATGAAGTGTCGCTCACTCAACTGCTGCCTGCATCCTGAAATCATCCCTCCCCTGGTCCATGGAAAAATTGTCTTCCACAAAACTGCTCTCTGGTGCCAAAAATGATAGAGAACTGCTGATCTAGTCAATGCCCTGCATTCTCTTCAAGAGGTGGTTTCCCACTTGCTCTCTAGGTGTTAAGATAAGATTCAACTATAGGAAAGCACTGCTTGACATATCTTGGGACTGTGTTTTAGAGTTTTAAGGGAATGGCAGTTATCTTCTGGGTGCAATTCAAGGCGCTAGTTGTCGAGATAAATTTGGGGAATTATCATGTATGGCCCGATTGAAGGAAAACTTCTTCAGGAGAGGGTACTTTACCACCTTGTTCAAGGCAGATGGCAAATGCTATTCCTTAGGAAAACATTAATTGTCTCTCAGGTCTGGCCTCACATGTCTAAAAGAGCCAGGAGGGAGTACTATCAACAAGTGGCAAGAATTCAAGCTACAGAGATCTTCTCCACTTTCTTGGGTTCCAGAAGTCCAGAATTGTTTTTATTCTTAATGAAAAACAATCAGTGCAGTGTAACTGAAGGCAGTGGGAGGGAACAGGCAATGTGTAGAATAATTCAATACAATGACTATATTTGTGGGGTTTAATAGGTTACTTACCGTCGTTGGCTGGAGGAATTAATCAGGATCAGAAATCCATGGGGTGAATGTGAATGGACAGGAGCCTGGAGTGATAAGTACATTCCTATTACTGTTTTTCTTCCTTCTGTTCTAGATCATCACTGTAACATCATTTTCTTTATTAATGCTTGTGATTCTGTATACAATATTATACCATCATATATTTATTATTATTACTATAAATAGACTTCTCATTAGTTGTTGAGTGTCTTCAACGAAACATATTTGGGATACCATATGAATCTTACAGCTGACTTGTGCTAGAGATTAAGTAGAAATATAAAATGTGCATTGACCAAGAAAGGATTTAAATTTATGTTTCTCTACTTCAGTTCCATGTCAACTAGGGTTCCACACTGTACTAACATCATGTGGGTTCTTTGATTTTGGAAATACTTGGAAATTGTAGACCATGTTTTAAGAAATAGAGTGTTATGTGAATGCAACAGTTATCAGTTATACAACAAATTGTGATGTCAACTCAGTCTTTGGGCTACTCAGCTGTCAGGTACAAAGGTAAACAAAGCTATGGATTTCCCTGTAGGGAAGATATTCATGTAATTTTGTGGAACATTGTACTGAAAGTGAAGACAAAAGAAATGTATTATTTATCTGGTATTCTTTCTGGCCTTTTTGTATAACTCCTCAAAAATTATATTTGAACAGTCAATCAAATGACATCCAATAAAGAAAAATGTAGTATTAGTAAATGAGCAGGACTTTTTATTAACTTACACCAGGCATCTCTTAACTATATCTGGTAATAGCAAGAAATTCATTGCTAGAAGCAGAGACAGATGATAAAACAAATCTTTTTAAGAAGATTCTTCCCAAGCTGAAATAAACACACAGCCAAATTAGACATGACATTAAGGATATATTTGCATTTAATATGCTTGTAAAAAAATCAAATTAGCAGCTGCCAGGATAATTACTAGAATTGCATCAGGCAGAGAGGGAGAGTTTAACCCTTTCTTTCATATAGCTGCTTTGACAAAAGTTGTTAATCTAGACAACTTCTGGTTTGAGCTTCTTCGGCGACAGACTGAAACCTCGTCTCTGCGAGGCTTCGATCCATGCTCACTGCTGGAGCGCCCCGAGCCGGCTGGTTTTGGGGCTAAGCCACCCCGTAGAGGTGGTGAAGAGGGGGGAGACTGCCTGCAGGGTTGAGGAGAGCCGCATCTCTCCTCCCCAGCTGGCCATTACTCCCTTTCCCAAAGGCGGTTGTAGCGGTGGTCAGAAATGGCCACCACAAAGAAGAACTCGACCGGAAAAGAATGTGCAGGAGGAAGATAAGAAGAGAAAGTTTTGCTTGACCGGGTCAAACAGCAAAAGCAACAAATAAGGTACCCTGGAATTGAAACTATTAAAAAAAACAATAACATTGTTCCCTAAGAAGATTTCTAAGCTGCGAAGGAGAGAGAAAAGGGAAAGGATTTGGGTTTTTTTTCTCTTCTTCCTATACTGACAGCTAAGAGACTTAAGCAAGAAATTGGAAAAAAAAATCCACTTTGACATTAATAGGTATTTAATGCTGAAAATAAAAAGTCAAAGGGATAATAAAGATTTCTGGATAATCAAAAGCTTTTGAAAACAGGAAAGGAGAGAAAAAGAATAAACGGGCAGGATCTGGAAGGGAGGAGACTGCCTGGAATTAAAAAGAACTTACAGCAAAATCTCAACAAGACTTCCAAAAGATACATTTTAACTGAAATATCGCAACAAAAACCCCAGGAAGAGAAAGTGGAAAAAGAAATAAGAAGAAATAACTCAGGACTATTTGGATTACTTGATGATTTCTGGATTTTTGGTTATTGTATTTGAATGACTAAAATCAATCGGGTGGTTGTTTAAAACTGTTGAAAATGGCTCCACTTTTAGAAGAACTGAAAATGGAACTTAAAAATTACAAAGAAGATGCACAAGAAGGGAGAGGTTCTTTTGCCTTCGTATTTCAGTTTTTAGAAATGGAGATTTGGAATTATGAGAAACAACAAGAAATGCCTGCAGAACAAGAAGATTGGGACAAAGAAGAAGCCATCTTTAATGAACAAGTAATCTTAGGTGGGGGGGAAAAGGAAAGGGGGGAAAGAGAATGGAAAGTTTAAGATTGGGAAAAACAACTCAAAAAAAATAGAGTGAAAAATAAGTATAAAATCAGAAAGCAACAGAAGAGGGAAATGCAGAAGAGAGAATTAGAAGTAGAGAGACAAGGGGATAAAAAGGGAGAAGATGAGAGGGAAGAAAGAAAGGAAAAGAAGTTATAAAGGACAGAAACAAAATATAGAGAAACAGGGCCTATTTAGAGATAATGGGTGAAAATTTAATGGAAAAAGGGATTCTGCAAAGGTACATAAGATAGTATTGTTATATTAGAAACAGAAATAATTTTAGAAAATATGAAACAATGTATGATTAAAATGTTTGATAAAATAGCTATCGTAATTCAGTGGAATGCTTGTCAATAAATAAGTGTAACAAAATGAATATTTAATGATTTACAAAACATGTGAAGAGAAATAAGGGAAAAATTAATGATGGAGATTATATGTGTCTTTAAGGAAGTATGATATTTAATTGAAAAGAAGTGTTAAAGATGTTAAGATTTTAATGATTATTAATGATAGAACTGAATTGGAATGGAATGAGGGTTTATAATTACATATATTTATAATCTTTTTTTTTAAAGAATATAGTGTGTATTATAAGAATGTACCAAGCAGAATTTGATTGGAAGTTATGTATTATGTATTATATTGAAGGTCATAACCTTAAGGTATATATTGAAGTTTGAATAAGAGTTGAATGGATGTAATTAAAAGTTATAAAGGTGTCATACTCCAATTAGTAACTACAGGAGAAAATTTGTTTAATGAGAAAAGATAATATGAAATTGAAACAGAACAGACAAAAGTATAAATATAATGATTTGAATTGAGATGAGATAATCAAAATAAAATTGAGAAAATTAAAAGGGGAAAAACTATATAGAAAATGTAGATTACACAAAAAGGAGCATGAAATTGAGTTTTGTGTCTGTATAAAGAAGATCAACCCGGGACCATGCTATTTTCAAAAAAGATGTTTTACTTGTATTTTGTATGTGTGAAAACCCAAATAAAACTGTATTTTAAAAAAAGTTGTTAATCTAAAGCTTTTTTGTGTTGAGGAAATCAGTCAAGTATGCAATTTTAAGGCTTGCTACACATTAAATGCAGCAGAGTTGGCTTACTGTATAAAGACTGGCTTACAGGCCAGAGAAATACTTCTTGCTCATTAACTAAAGAATTGAGTATACATAAAATAATCTCTGGAAGTTCTGAGACAGAATGATGGGTACTCCTGGTTGGTGACTATTTTTAGGGCACTGTTGTTTTCCCAAGCAGTATATTTTCTTGTATTATTATACTTCTGTTTTTAATCCTGATTTTCTTATACAGTGCCCAAGGTTTTTTTCAGTGATTGAGGCAGCTAAAAAAATAAATGAATAAACAAACAAACATGTGGAGACTGTGTTTCAGAGCTATGTGAGCTGGCTATCTATGCAATCAGCTCTATGGGATAAAATAAGCTGTTGGATTGGTTTCTCTCCAAATCTGATTGATGGATTTCTCACTGTATGTGATTGGGTGATTGCATCCTGCTAAATAAATAGAACTTGCATACAAAGATTTAGTAGGTATATGAAGATATGTGGTTCCCCGGAAGGGATCATAGGGAATGGACAAATGAAAAAGTAGAAGTTTATTATTACCCCAATTTAAAGTGGGAACTTTCCTTATAAAATAAGATGTTTTTCCTTATAAAAAAAAAGATGTTGAGATTCTAGATACAGGGGTGTCAAACTTGCGGCCCATGGGCCAGATGCGTCATGTGCTGGCCACGCCCACCCCCAGTTTAGCAAAGGGGGAAAAAGTCACAACATGTCACGTGATGACAACATGCCATCAGGAGTTTAATATCCGTGCTGTAGAAAGAGCACTGAGGCTAAAACACGATGATCAGTTGTGGAAACTGGATATGTCTAATCTAATGAGGAGAAAGATCAGGGGTGACATGAAAGCAGTCTTCCAATATTGGAGGGGCTATCACAGAGAAGAGGGGTTGGACCTATTCTCCAAATGCTGTGAAAGGGCAGGACAAGAAGTAATGGCTGGAAACCTATCAAAGAGAGATCCAACCCAAAACTAAGGAGAAATATTTTGAGATGAGAATAATTAATCGGTGGAATAGCTTATCTCCAGAAGTTGTAGGTGCTCCATCGCTGGAGGTTTTTAAGAAGAGATTAGGCAGTCATTTCTCTGAAATGGTATAGGCCAGGGTCTCCTGCTTGATCAAGGAATTGGACTAGAAGACCTCCAAAGTCCCTTCCAACTCTATTATTCTGTTATAAATGAACAGTGAGGGTTAGGAAATGACCAGTAACCAAACCTAATTATTTAGACTTGAGTAGCCTTTTGTATACAGTACTATTTGAATTTTGTGGTATATGATAGGTACACTTACAATTTTTCTTCCACAAAATGCTTGTCCCTTTAAGCCTGGCCAAATTACAAAATGTTTATTTACCCAAAGATGAACTAGCATCCTGCATTTTGCCCAGATTCTCTTTAGCACAGTAAGTGTACCCAAAGCAATCTTGTCAATAGATATGATGCCAGAGACAGGTGCCCTGTTTTGCAGTAGATCTCTATTTACTGTTTCTTAAAGAAAATTAGTTTATAAATTTCAGATGGGGTACCTACCGAGTTTTTACAAATACATTGGTACCCATGGATACCACATTGCTTACTCTTGAAATATGAGGAAAGAAGGACTAGTAACTGGCAATGAAGAAACAGTATCCACAGAAATAAAAGAAAATCTCTGTGTATTGGTGACCTGCAATGTACATAGAATTTTTTCTATTTGTTTTCCTGCCCAAAGATAAGCCTGTGTTTCCAGGAAGTGCAAACTGACAAGGTTGCTAGGAGAAAAATTAAACACCTAGAATGTTAGATTAGTTACATGTATCAAAAAAGATGACTAGTTTCTGGTCAACTGTCAGAGGAAAAAGATTTAGAAGGTATTCTATAACACTGAAAGTAAAAGGCTCTGGCTTTTAGGTCCTGGTGAAATAAGGTTTTAATTCTTTTTGGCAAAGTCTAGAGTAGATCTTGTTGGGCAGGACATCCAGAAGTCGAAGTCTTGAAGAAATGAAAAGAAAATGTAGTGTGATTGATATTTCTGTCCTGCAGGGAAGAGAAGTGGAGATATGTCAATCAGATTTCATGAAATACATTTTTAGAGAAAGGATTGGGAAATGTAATCCTAAATGTTTCCATCATTGTGACAACTGTTCATTCTGATGGTGACAAGCAGAGCTCTGTAGCTCTAGAAGGAAACTCTAGGAAGTAAACTTTAATAACTTAAAACTAAGGTGGAAGCAGGGGTGGGTTTCTACCAGTTCTGTCCACCTCTGTAGAAGCGGTAGCTCTGAAGAGCAGCAGTCATAGAACCAGTTCTATGTCTGCTGATGTTTTTGCCCACCTGCCCACTCGGGCTCTTCTTACCTGATCTTTTTTTCCTGATTTTTCAACTTCAGCTGCTGAATGAGGCACAGCTGCAGTTAAAAAAGTAGGAAAAGAGGCTGTTTCAAAGGCTGCATCTCTGCATGCAGCCTGCTGGGGACGATTTACAGGCCCACGGCTCCCAGCGTGCAGGGAAGCTCGTAAATCCCGAACCGGCAGTTAACCCTGTCATATCCCACCCCTGGGTGGAAGCCTTAGTTATCACCTTATTATTGGAAGACGATTGACAAGGAATAAAAGCATTCTTACAGTAAGTGAATAGTGCTTCAGAAAGACTGAAAGAATAAGTTCTCCATTGAAGCTGGAAGTGGGAAAAATAGTCAGGAGGATTGTATGAACCATTTGGAAGAGTGTTTTACAAAAGTAATGAAAAGATCTCCCCCAACTCTGTTTGAAGCATAAGATTAGTCTTAGCAATGATACATCTGAAAAAGTTGTAATTGAGATCACAATTGTGTGTATGCTGAATATGAATCAGTAACGTGAAGCTGTCAAAAAGACAAGTAATTTAAAGTAGCCTTAACCGAAGAACAGTTTTTAAATCATGAGAATTAAAAGTTCTACTCTATTCTGCAGATTAATCCCACTTCAACAAATGTAGTCAGTTTTGATTACCATTTTTTTAAAAAAAGGATTCAGATAAAATATGAATTCCCAAAAAGGCAACAAAAAATAATAAAGTCATGCTTTAGATGAGGCTCAGGCATCGCACAGAAGATTTCACTTGATATCCTAAATGTGTCAACTCATAATGGCTGCTTCCGATCATGGATTCTTGGTCTCCCTTCAAAGCATTTGCAAGAAGAAAACTACATTTTCTGAAAAGAAAAATCTGAAATCTAAATATGTTTACATTTTTAATCTGATATACAACCCTAAGAACAACAAAATAGTGATTAATTATTTTAGGTGTCTACAATAACCAAATCAGCAAACGTGTTTTGTTGATTCTCATATCAGCCAGCAACATCAGATGTGCAAAATTAAAAGGAAAGGCCATTCTGCAATTGTGTGATTGATCTCTGATTCATGAGGATATCACACAGAATTAAATAGCATCATTCATCTGTGCTTTTAACTAAATATCTCTGTTCTGATCACATATGCTTCTTTCATGAGTGTTTCTGGGCCACTTGAACATATCTGGAAAAATGCAATACTCGAAATACCTTTTTTGTATATCCCATGTTGCTAAGTTGATTTTCTGCCTGTCAGAACTAATCTCTGTTAAGAAGATACTATTTTTGAGGATGTGCTTTAAAACACTAATACACATCCCTGATTCATATCTTACTATGTGCTCTCCTTGTTTCATTACAGTGCTCTGGAATGGAAGTATATTAATCTTAAGCAAAGGAATACTCTGCATAGGGAAGCAATTGATGGAGAATTTTGGTGAGAAATATCTGTTTTTAGCAGTCGATAGATGAATGTGCTTTAAAATCTATGTAGTGATGAGAAGACATGGCACTAAAGTGGAGTTAAATATACCATCTGCGGTTGCATCTTCCATTTTAAAATTGCCATTAAAGTAATAAACATGGGGAGGCCTGATAGTTATCAAGCCTACATTGAGAAGAAGATACCATTCTTTTCTGCCATGCTACATTGCTGATTAAAGTCATACTCCATGTAATGGCTTTTATTAGCTTCAGGAGAAAATATACAATGACTCCAAGAGAAAGCTAATAATATCTGTCCTAGTAGTGGAGCATGGAAAAAAATTAAGGCACTCATTCATTTATCACTATCAAGACAAAAATGGGTGCTCTCCCCTTATGGTTGGTTGTGAACAACTTTAAAATGAAACATCCAGCAATGAGTAGTACACATTAAATTATTGGTGTTTCCAAGTTTTGACAGGCAGCAGAGCAATGAGAGTTTCTATGCCAGTTGCTTTTCATAGCTGGCAGGCTGCTTTCACCAGAGCAGGCCACAAATTCTGCAGGCCTACGAGTCGGGGTAATATCCGCTGGGGTCCTTCTTGTTCACCATTTCAGCTCCATTCGGTTATACTTCTTTATTACTGCTTCACTGTGGTGAATAGTTAGTTCATGTGCTCTTTAGCAATACTATAAAGAGAAAGGTGGATTTGAATAATCCATGCTCAGAGATGCCCAACAATTTGGAGTCTGAAAAATCATATAGGAAGCAGATTCCAGTTGTGAGGAATGGGAAGAAGATGATATTGATGCTAAGGACAGCCAAATGACCAGATTTATGAAGAGGGATAATTGGGAATCCATGTGCTAAGCATGATGCCTACAAGTTTCAGACCTTTATTTCGCTGCTATCTGCTGTTTCTGTATAGTCATAAGAATTGTCTGAATAGCAATATTCTAGATCAGCAATCCTTAACTTTCATATCTTAAATCCCATCAATTACTGTATTAAATAACATAAGACTCACTACAACAGAAAGGAAAGTCCATTTGTCCTAGGAAAAATGCATGTTATTATATTTATTATTTAGAGTAAGTTTATTAAAACTTAAAATTTCAGTGACTTTCCTGTGTACCAGGCTGTGGCACATTTGGAACTGCTACTTGCACAGAACTATTCCCTCTCCACATTTCCCTGCCACCTCCGCTGCCAGTCTGCAAAGCCAGAAAATTTGTGGACCACTGATCTATTCTAGATTACTTCTGAATCCCAATTTGGTGTATAAATCGCCAGCTGAGAGCCACAGTTTTAAAGTCACAGTACATTCTTCTTTTCTGGTGGCAGGATGTCCTTCTCAGATTTTAAAAAGCAATTTACAGATCTTGAGATCTGCAACTTGTCTCCGGATCCTCTGATCTGCAATCAAGCTCATAAATGGAACATGAAACTATTCCATGGAACCTGGCAAAGTGGTTCTACAGCTGGTGGCTCCCCAGATTATCCAGGTATACAATAACCAATTTTGCACTGCAGAAATCAATGCAGATTGTGTTGTGATCTCCCTAGGGAAGTCACTGTGGTAATTTAAATCAATGAATGAGGTTTTGCTTTAATGGTTTTACCATAGTACAAGAGATAAGAACATTGGTTTCAAGGAAACCTAATTCTTTGCTTTTGCCTTGGAAAATCCCCATCCATAAATAGCTATTCCAGAGTTACTGCTTTCCTGAAATGAATGCAAGTTGTTTTTATTCCAGGGGGAATTCATTGTTTTTTTGGCCCAGCTTTATATTTTGGCCAAGTTATAATTCTTTATGGTCCAGTTAAGAGCAGACAGTTTGACATCCAAAGTGGAAGAGGCTGATTGCTGATGTTGGCAAGAAATATGATTACAAATAGACTGATGACCCTATTTTATTTTTGAGTCCAGCAAGCAAGGGGGAGAGTGTGAGTTGTTGCTAAGCAAGTAAGAGTCGCTAACATCTCTGAAATTTACTGGATTTGGCTTAGCTGATGAGCTGCACAATGTCCTCTGGTCATTATGAGAATAAAGGAGGAGCATGCAAAGGTTAAACCAGTAATTCCTTAAAGTTGGAAGCACATCTGGTGACACAGGGAATAAGGTACTGAATCCTACTGCCTGAATCTTTAGAATGAATTCCCCAGTGTTTTATATGTCTGCCTCTTTTGGCTTGAAGAAACTTGATTGCAGGAAATACAACTTCAGCAACAGAGTGGTCAATGTCTGGAATACTCTACCTGACTCTGTGGTTTCTTCCCCAAACCCCAAAAACTTTAACCTTAGACTGTCTACTATTGACCTCACCCCTTTCCTAAGAGGTCTGTAGGGGGTGTGCATAAGTGCACCAACGTGCCTACCGTCCCTGTCCTATTGTTTCTTTTATTTTTCTTATATGTAACCATTTCATGTATTCATAACTATGTATATACTTATACCTATTATCTTGTAAGCAATTGACAAATCAAAATAAAAAGAAACCAGCCTGTGGTCATGGTTCATGCAGCCTTTGTATCTATCATTGATAAGAAAACTCTTTGGGGAGGTATGGCAATGCACAATGATATACAATAACTACTGAGAACTCAAATTGTGACCTAAATTTTGGCTGTGATAAGATAATATAAAAGATTCACAATATATATGTATTGTGTATTAGTGCTGGTTACTCAGGGATTTTATACATCCTAGCTTCTAGGAATCTCCATACTGTTCATGTGTGCTATTTTTATTGCTTAGCATATTTGTTCTCATCTAGCAAAGTGTTTATGTTTTATTTCTATGCTCCATTCAGTTTTTTATATAATTATAATTGCAGTAAAAAATTACCAATCCATAACATGTAACTTCATAGCTGTATATTTCAACCATCTAGCAAAACAGTTTCATTTTTATTTATCTAATGCTAAATTAATCTCTAAATCATTTGCTGTTTGGAATTCTAGCTCAAATATATAATTAAAACGAATAGCAACATGGTGTGTTAATTAAACATTTAAAATGATTTCAAAATGGATTATAAAAATGTGATGTCAGTTTTAAAGAGCCAATTCTTGATTAAGTCTGCTACTATAAATAAATAGTTTTAGAAAGCTTTATGGCTTTCATCGTGGTATAATGATCAAATCCTTCAACCTCGGATATTTGAATATTTGCTAGAATTAGTAAACTATTAAATGTATGAAAATGATACCATGGCACTTGGAAAAAAGAAGCCAACGGTAGAAAAATGTCTATAATTTTAATAGTGATGTTTCCATCTACAGATAATAAAGGTTTTGGATACATTGCAGAGGTGTTATTCAGCAGTTCTGACCAGTTCTGGAGAACTGGTAGTGGAAATTTTGAGTGGTTCGGAGAACCGACAGATACTACCTCTGACTAGAAATTTTACAGTAGCCTTCCTACTAAGCCACACTCACAGAACCAGCAGTAAAAAAATTTGAATCCCACATTGGCTGTGTTTGGATAATGTAATGGGCTAACATGGAGTTATCTAATTTATAGTTGGTTATGTGAACCAGCTAGGTATGAGGTAACTGAATTAATTTATTAAGCCATGGTTGTATATACCGGTAGTCACTTAGATACACCAGCAAAGCCCAAAGTAATTTTCTCACTGCATTATTGACCAAATGTTGCCATTGAGCCCCACAGGGCCTAGCTTCTGGGCAACAAATTAGGGGATCAGATGTTTTGCCTTACCCTTCAACCTTCTACCATCCAGCCAAGTCCTAGATGATTTTTTTTTTAATTGAATCCAGCAAAGAAGGCATCAGTGCCCATGGGTGACCAGGCATTTCATTTCCATTGGGATGTGGCTGAGGGGTACTTGAGGAAAGGCTACATGCAGAGATGCCTCCCTAAATTTTCTCTAAAGTTTCATCGATACTGCCAACATTTTGCCTTGGTGAAATGGGTGGCATAGAAGTTTAATAAATAAAATGAAAGCTCTTTTGATGCTTTACAAATGAATTTCATAAAGACTGATAGAATCATGTGAGATTTCAGGCATAACTTGGGGCAAACCGATATCTAAGCAGAATCTTTATTTACAAATCTAGTTCTCTATATTTCATCCAACTCTGTCAAGTTCCTTATAATCTTGGACAGAAGTGGGCAAACACAGACAAGGTAATTTGTTCAAAATCACGCTGATAGGACAGATGTACCCATTTTACTTAAAACCACCATCACTACCTCTATCAAAGGGGAAAAAAGGTGCAAAAATGGCAGCATTGTTTCTGGAGACATGATTGGTACTAAGGTAACAGCGCTTTCAGACTTTAGTCTCTAGGTAGGCTAATCCTCAATCTGATCTCATGAAATAAACAAATGTGTAATGCACACAGTGGCCATTGGAGCTCTATCACCCTGCAGAAGCCCTTTCTGCATATACAGTACATGTCATCTCTTACATTGTTGGGCATTTTGCCAATATCTGGGTATCAAATGATAACAATATTCCTTTCCAGATCCCTGATAAATCATGTTGTACTTTTATATGGAAAGTGGAACCATAACAACATATGAGGAGAGGGAGAGAGAGGGAGAGGGAGAGAGAGAGACAGAGACAGAGACAGAGACAGAGACAGAGACAGAGAGAGAGAGAGACAGAGAGATTATAAATATTTTCTAGCCACATCTGAGCATTAGACCCCACAGAGTATGCCAATAATAGTCTTTTGTGGATAAATAACTGTCTGAGGTTAATAACCATAGCTGTTCTCAGCTGCTTATTGCTCCCTTAGGAAATATCTCTCAGTAGTTCAATTGCATTTTGCTTATTGCAATAAATATATAGCATAGCATATGCTATGGCAGAGGTGGCAGAGATGGGAGAAAGAAACATTAACTGTATAAATATAATGGTACAGCCAAGCTGGAAATCACAATTAGGTTCACACCTAAAAGCTATTCCTGCAGTTCTAGCAAGAGTGAGCATTGGTAGGCCAGCACAAGAAAAAAATCTTTCTTTTGGTTTACCAAATATGACAATTTTATCTGTATTTATATTTTGGTCTTTGTAGCAACATATTGGACCAATCCCCAGTTTAAAATCAAATTGGAGGAGCCAGATGATGATCAGGAAGCAAATGCATGTGAGCCTTGTTGCACGATGATAGTAGGTTTGATGCAGAAAAATCGCAGACGACAGAAGATGAAGGGGGAAGATTGGCTCAAGATTGGCTACTGCATTTATCAGGTTATTTTACTTCCTAGGATATGGGTACTTTTGCCCCCAAAACAATACTATACAGGATTCTGGCCAAATATTGATTAGGGTGGCTTGGGATGGCAATGGTGCTAGGTCTAGACTGCTGGTGTCTAGACTAGGGCATTCTTGCTCATTTTCACAAAGAAAGATATATCCTTTTCCCACCAAACACACTTTTTACTTGGTGTGTCTCACTCCTGTCATTTAAGATAGACTTTTTAAAAAAATAGATGTGGGGGAAAAGGAAGTACAATATTCAGCTTCTCAGGTATTCCAAATTGTGGTGTCCCAAACATATTGATTTTCAGTTCTGATAGTCCGTGGTTATGCTTTGAGGGATTATAGAAATTGAAATCCAACACATCTGGAGAACAGCAAATTAAAAAATGTTGTATTGTATAGGGTGGCTTGTTGTATTTTATTGTCTGGCTATTTGTGATAGGGACAATGCTGCTATCTTTCAACTGATTACTTTTATGTCTTGTAGATGCCCAAAGAGGTAACGCTACATTTGGAAATCTGAATCATGAAAAATGGCTACTTCTTGCCAGAACTGAATATTTTAATCATCTTCTTAAATGTTGATGCTTCTAGACTGACAATTGACTGAGTGATATATGAGGACAATTCATATTTCTTGGAAAAATATGAAATATGGTTTGTAAAGCTGTTCAGGCACATATTCCGAGAGTGCAGAAAGTACAACATAAACTTAGGCTGGCATCTATTTTACTAACCTTTCTCTCTTAAGCATATTTGTTTTTGATTAAGTGGAGGAGATGGGAAAAAGAAACTGATATACTCTTGAAGCAAAAGTCAAAACTTTGCTTTATACTAATTATGCACTAGCTCTGTATACTGAAACATGCCACAAAATCATGGTGGGCATATTCTGTATTATGATAATGGCAAAAAAGTGTAATGCATAAACTAGCATTGAATGTTATCTCTAATTTAAATGCCTAATGCAATACAGTATATCTGCAAGGAGAAGGGGCACCAAAGTACCTTACTCTCATGTAATTGACCCAAGTGATCTAATTTATCAAATGAGGTAAAGTATGTGACCCTGATAATTAATAGATATCCTATCAGTAGATAATAGAAAGTACCTTGTTTTTAAACAAGTTTCACCTGGTTTGCTTGGCTGCCTTTATGAGTTGTTCCTTGGAAAACAAGCTTATATAGTAATTTTTAAACATTGTTTTCTTTACTTTAATGTCTTTGTGAGGAAGCTATTTTGTTTTATAACTCATCCATATTGTTGGAATAGACTTATATTATGAGTTACACAAAAACTCATAATCCATAAGATCAGTGATTGGATGAACATTTAAGTTAAGGGAAAGTGTGTCAGAAAAATCAGTTTTAAAAATGGGTGTTTTGACATTTTCACAAGAGAAAGTATTTCTGCAGTCTGCAAATCATCTCACATTTTCTGTAAATTTGCAGTTTGTTCCCATTCATCATTCTGTAAGAAGAAAATGATTGGATGATGGTAAAGAAAAATGGTGTGGAAACAAACATTGCAGACTATTATGAGGCCAACTATATGCTATTACTGCTGGCCAAAACAACACAGCCAAATACCAAAATATATATTTGATTTTGGTATTGTTATTACCAATTATAATAATGATAAATAATCACTTTCTTTTCTAAAATGAGCCTAGGATTGTATGCAAGACATTTTCTGCTCTGTCTCATGCACAGAGGTGGATTTGTGGCTATGCAGATGCAGATAGATAATTCCACAAAACATCCATAACAAAGTACATTTATTGGTACATCAGGTATCTTCATAACTCACATTTGTGACGAAGCTCTTCTATAATGACCAATCCTTTGTATATCAGCATTGCAGGTTAAAAATGGTTATTTTCCTAACCCATCACGTAGCGATAGAAAGAAAGCTGTTACCAGTCCATGAGTGCAGGCAAGAATGGAGGAAACCTCCCTCGACCCCTCGAGGGTCAATTTAGTGACCAATCAGGATTACAGATGTAGCCACGTGACATGAACTACATTTCCCAGGATACCTTCAATTACATTTTGCATGATGCATTCCCTTAAGGGGACAACTCACAATTCCTACGTAACTATCCAACTCCCATAGACTGGCTGGGACAGCACAAGATAATAGATGTACAGAACTAGGATATAACAACCAAAAACCTGAGAGAAAAACACATATACCAACCAATAACACTGTCAACTGAAAGAATATTAGCACTCAAAATCCCAAGTACACAGATATGTAGATATGTTTTTATTTGTAGCCTAAATCTTGAAAATATCATCTTAGCACTACCAGAGTATAAGAATCTAGATAACTGCTAGATGGATGCAGACAGAGATAAAAAGCATATCAATACTCCAGTGTTTATATAGATTTCAATGGTCTAGGTCCGTGATGGTGAACCTATGGCACGCGTGCCACAGGTGGCACGCAGAGCCATTTGTGCAGGCATGCGAGCCCCAGCCAAACTTATCTTCACTGCACATGCACATGCTTCCCAGCTGATTTTCAGCCCATTTGAGGCTGTTTTTGCCCTCCCAAGGCTTGAGGGAAGCCTCTGCAGCCTCAGGAGGCTGAAAAACGGCCCTTCCAGAATACCGAAAGTGCCCATTTTCAGCATCCGGAGGGCCTCTGGAGCTTAGGGGAGGCTATTTTTGCCCTCAGGAGGCCGAAAAACGGGCCTTCTGGAAATACTGAAACAGTTTCCGTGTCTGAAACAGGCCTGTTTTTTGGCCTCAAGCCTCCAGGAGGAAAAAAAACGGCCTCTCCCAGCTCCAGAGGCCCTCCGGATGTTGAAAACGGGCACTTTTGGTATTCCAGAAGGCCCGTTTTTCAGCCTCCTGAGGCTGCAGAGGCTTCCTTCAAACCTCAGGAGGGCGAAAACGACCTCAAACGGGCCAAAAATCAGCTAGGAGGCTTGCATATGCAGGTAAGGGAGTGGGGGTATTGCATGCACAGGAGGGTGGGCTGTATTGCATTGTGGGTGCTGGCACACACATGTGCTATTGCACACACGCACACTTGTGGCACACCACAACAAAAAGGTTCTCCATCACTGGTCTAGGTTTAGTACTCCTACCATCCAGACTTTTTCCAGGGAGTTTTGTATTATATGATGTTAACTATATTTGATTAGAGTTATATTTAAGATCCATGTTGAATTCAGTTTTCCAACCAAAAGGAAAAGGCAATAACATTATCATCCTGCAGTCATATTCAACTTTAGTCAATCATGCCAGAAGTCCAGAAAGATAAATATGGAAGATGAAGCTAAAGGCCTGCCTAGTGTACCAGTATATATAAGTAGGACAAGTTATATAATGAAGTCCTAGCATGATCACTTATGTATCTGCTTGAAAGGAATATTTGTCCTGCTCTCTATTTTGATTCTTGTGTGCAATTAATGTTTTCACTCTTACTGTTGCCTTTAGTTAGAAAATCAAGCTGATGTTCATCTAAGCAGAGAGTTCTTCTCAACAAATAAACCTGTAGTTTATTTTGACCGGGAGGTCTACTTGCGTGAAGCATCAAGTCGCTTCCACCTGCCACAGGGAGAATATCTTATTGTGCCATACACCTCTCAGCCTTTCCAAGATGGACACTTCTGCCTTAGGATCTTCTCTGTGAAACAGATTAAAGCTCAGTATGTATTTTCTACCACCACATGCCAAAAAGTGTCATGCCATTTTGCATGGAAGTTGTTTAATATGTGCGTATTTGGAAGGGAATGCTTAATCTGTGATCTTCCAGATATAACTGATTTCTAATTCCTGTGAAGTCTAGCCAGTATGGGCAGCAGTCTGAATAGTGGGGTTTGTCATGTGAGTTATCTAGAAGACCACAGGATCCCAATTCTATAAATATATATGAATCTAAAAGGAATTTTATTTATTTTTTATTTATTTATTTATCAAGCGGTTATAAGATAACAGTTATAAGTATAAACATAGTTATGAATACATGAAATGGATACATATAAGGAAAAAAACAGTAGGATGGGGATAGTAGGCACGTTGGTGCGCTTATGCACGCCCCCTACAGACCTCTGAGGAAAGGGGTGAGGTCAATATTAGACGGTCTAAGGTTAAAGTTTTTGGGGTTTGGGGAAGAAACCACAGAGTCAAGTAGAGTATTCCAGACATTGACCACTCTGTTGCTAAAGTCATATTTCCTGCAATCAAGTTTGGTGCGGTTTACCTTGAGTTTGTATCTATTGTGTGCTCTTATATTGTTATGGTTGAAGCTGAAGTATTCATTGACAGGTAGGACATTGCAATATATAATTTTATGTACTATACTTAGATTGGACCAAAGGCGGCGTAGTTCTAGGTTGTCTAGGTCTAGAATTTCAAGTCTGGTGGCATAAGGTATTCTGCAACGAGTAGAGGAGTGGAGAACTCTTCTTGGGAAATATTTCTGGACTTTCTCAACTGTATTAATATCATACGTAATTCGGGTTCCATTCCGATGAGCTGTATTCAAGTATTGGTCTAGCAAATGTTTTGTACGCTCTAGTAGTCAGTAGTATGATATGGCCGGAGAAAAACAACTCTTAATGCCTTTTTGGCTATGTAGTTATAGTGGGCTGTAATTTACAAGGAACGTAATGTTGCTAAAGCATCCCTTTCTATCAGTCTTCATTATCTTTTTCCATCTCTTCTATAACGAATGGAGTAATGTGTCTTCACAGCTAGAACGGTTTGGATAGAGAAATGATAAAAGAAGCAGAATGAATTACAAGGCAACAGGAGAGTGAGTACAAAAAGTCTGAGGACCAGAAGAGGAAATAGCAAAGGCACTCTGATCCCTAGGAAAAGAGATGTAAATTGAATTGGAGAGGAAAAGTGAGAGTGGAGAGCTCTAAAGAGCACCTTGTTTTCCCCTTCCTTTTGAATTAAGATAATAGTTTTAGTTTCCAAGCTTATTTAAAAATTAAGAAAAATATCACAATTCCCTTTATCTGAATTTGTTCAGACTCTTCCTTCTGACTATGGTCAAATATACAATTGCTTGAGAAAAGTTATTTTTTAGAGTAGAATGAAAATTAAGTCTATATTTAGGTGGAAATTATAGGTAGCAAGAAAGGCAAACAATGGCAGTTGAGCACACTAGTATTAAGTAGGAATGATATAATTTGACAATGGCTATTATTTTTTATTTTTTTCAAGATATTTATATCTATAGTTTTCAGGATGACTCACAAAAATAAAACCAACAAAATACAACAGCAAAAATATAATTAAAACAATTGTAGCTTTAAAAAATGCAATAGAGGCTTAAAACCAAATACTCTGTATTAAATATACACATTGCTAACAATTCACTTTTTAAGATCGCAAACAAAATGAGAGTTAGATCACTAAAACAATCCTGTAGGAAATGCCAGGTAATTCTTGCTTAGAAGGCTTAACCTCAAATTATGTTGTGAGAATCACTGAGAAAATCCTTTTCTTGAGACCCTCATGAAGTGCATCAGAGAAGAAACTTCACTTCAGGCAAATATATACAGGAGAAGGGAAAGTTGCAAGAATCTTTGTCAGTCTTCCTTATCTTGCTGCCTTCTCTTGGGAAGGGATGGAGTGTTTTCAGATTCTATTTTTTCTCATCCAGCTTTGAAGTCAGGCAGCAGTCAAGCTGGCACAACAGAACTAGAATGCCTTTAAATGGTGACTTCAGCTTATTTGCTTGCTTGTTTGCATAGCTAGATTTAGATGCTAGTTGTATGACTCTCATATTGCATCGATTAAGAACTGGAAACACCAACAATTTCAAATGTTTAGGCCAGTGTTTCTCAGCCTTACCAACATGAAGATATGTGGACTTGCTAAATTTCTTGGGTTGAGAAATACTGATTTTAGACACAGGGATGCAATCACAATTAATATAAATATTCACCTTCTGGAAAGGAAACAAATGCATTCTTGTTCAAAGGCCCATTGAACCGAAAGAGTTTAAATGCTTTCTGAAAGGCTAACCAAGTTGTCTGATATCAGGAGAATAATGTTCCAGAAAAGGAGGCAATGATGGAAAACACCCTTCTGTGTGGTGCTTGTATATGACATTTCCTGAGGGCCAGGACAGAAAGGGTCCACTCTTAGAGATCATAACTGATGGCAAAGATCTCTAGGAGAAGGCAGTCCCATGGATGCCAAGGTCCTGAAATGAAGGGCTTTAAAATACCAGCAGCCCTTTGAACTGAACCAAGAAACAAACTGGCAACTAGTGCAGTCCTCAGTCAGTACAGAGTTTCACTGGGCCAAATCAAATTTCCTGAACTACTGCATTCTGAACTATCTAAAGCAGCCCTATGAAGTACATGCTGCAATAATACAAATGGGAATTTTATCCATATAAAAGCCATGCATACAGTAAGCAATGCCAACAAGGAAAAGGCCATAAATGGCACATAGTCCCTCTTAGCCAAAACTGTCACCTGCTCTTCAAGCAAGAGCTGTGAATCCAAGAGCACCCCCAGATTACAGACCAACTCTGCTTGGGGAATCCTGTCCAGAGCCACAGATGGAATATTTTAATAGTCATTCTTCCATGTCATTCTACTATTCTTTTAAATTGACTTTGAAATTTGTGGATTATGTTTCAAGTGTGTAGCTTGTTTTTATTTAATTTTATTGCTTTTTGAAACTATGTCACCAGAATTGCAATTTTTTTCTTTAATTACAGAGAAATTGGGGACACCGCCACTGCTAATCCATATGAGGTAAATAAATTAAGCAGATTCAAATTAACATATTTACTTTGAAATCCATATAAAAGCAATCAGTTTATCAGGCCAACTGAAAGTTTACCAAATAGTGTATATGTTCCACACATCTAAGAACTCTTTATTAAGAAAGGAAACTGGAAAATTAAAAGGCTGGTATAAAAGGCTAGTTTTGTTTTTAATGGACTGAGAGGTATCTGCACACTTGCATTTCTCGAAGGTAAAGAAATTACAACAAGTGCTATTTTCAAAACTTTCTGCTGCATCTAGGTAGATGGGATGAACAAATTTAAGGAGGAGTCTCCTTAAATTTCTTGGTGTCCATAAGTGAGGAAAGGCAGGTGGGTAGACACTGCGGTATCTGAGTCATGGGAATATAGGAACCTCTGGCTCTGCATGTATGGGGCTGACAAGGAAGAGGGAGTCCAGTGTGGGTGGAGGTGCTTCAGAAGCAGGGGTGGGATTCAAATTTTTAAACAACCGGTTCTGTGGGCGTGGCTAAGTTGGTGGGTGTGGCTTGGTGGTCATGTTATTGGCTGGGCGTGGCCAACTCAATATCACTCACATCAAGGCACACATCTCCTCACCTGGCCTCTCATGATGGTGGGGATCTTGCAACAGTCATAAGTGAAAAATGGTCATAAGTCACTTTTTTCAGTGCCATTGTAACTTTGAATGGTCACTCCACACAAGCAAAGTACCAGCAAAGGAGGGGAAAAAAACTCCAGAGAAGTTCCTGAGACAGGAAGTCTAGTCCTGCCAAGAATGTAATAAGGGTTAACAGAGAGGCAGTTTCTGTAAGCAACACCAGAATGTTTCCTTCCTGCCTTCCTTACAGGATTAGGCCAGTAATTTCTTCTAACAATCGGTTCTCCGAACTGCTTAGAATGTTAACAACTGGTTCTAGTGAATAGGTGCAAACTGGTAGAATCCCACCCCTGTTTCAGAGCCAGGAAGAGGGAATAGTGTAAAGTTCACTACTTTGGGAAGCCACTGATAAAAATAGCATGCTTGTTTGGCTGATGCCATCAATATTTATATAGGTCAGTTTTCACAGAAATTAAATTGATACCACAAATTTTGAGATACCTTGCTTTATGGGATTTCACAGCAAATACGTTTTGGAATTATAAGTCACTTTTCTCAGTCAAAATTGTTTTCCTCCTTACCAAAATACCCCGATGGATGGAAAATAGAAGAGATATCAGCTTGATAGTCTAGACATTAACAAAACTAGGTATATGCTAACATGTACTATATAAAATATGTCATCAAAATGAAATTGGGCTATTTTAACTAGTGTTGTTATGGCTTATACTCTCTGTGAATGTTTCCTGCAAGCTATATACCTGCTTAGTCAAAATGCCTCAGGGTTCTTCACCTTCCTTAGTAAAAATGTTCTATTTACAATCTCTTCATTTTTTTAGCCTCAAGTTACAGGCAAGGATATAGACAACGAATTCAAAAGTCTGTTCGAAAAACTTTCTGGGGAGGTAAGAGACAGATATAAATGTATATTCAAGATTAGATAAATAGTATATTTTTCAACTTTAAATTAACAGATCTGTATCACTAATTCATATCAACAAGTTTTTTTAGCCTCAAGTTACAGGCAAGGTAGCATGCAATCTTCCTTCATTTGCTTTGCTTAACAGGGTGACGCAGTGCTTTGGATGTGAAAGTAAAAATAATTTTGGGGTATGTAGTGGGAGGGAATCATGTAGCAACTCCTTAAAGTCATTGCACCCTTTTCTAGGTGCCCATTGCAGCTGCAACACAATCCTGGGAAAACGTGTATTCAGGGAGATGCAGGCAACCTCTGCCCTCTGAAGAACTTTTTCTGCCTTCACATCGAAAGGGCTGTGTGGCCAGAACATTTATTTACTGAATGATAAGATTTACCAACTGCCTCGCTCCCAGAAGCTCTAGATAGCATGCAAATAGAATCAAAATACAATGCAAATAATCACAATAGAATACAAAAGAAATCACAAAACAATGTCACCAATGATACAATTCATATTTCAGCTCCTCATCTCCAAAGGCTATTCTTTCCTTGGGGCCATTCTTTGGAGGAGAAGTTGTTCCAAAGGAGGGGAACAATCACTGAGAATGCCTTCTCTCTTGTCATACCTCCCTGTTTGGTGGAGTCCTTTAGCAGTCCTTTTCTATCAGATTAGATTTATTTATTTATATTTATTTGTCAAACATGTACAGGATAACAAGTGTATGTATGAACATAAATCATGAACAAAGGAAATAAATACAGGTAAATGGGGACAGTAAGACAGGGATGGTAGGCATGCTGGTGTGCTTATGCATGCTCCCTTTAAGGACCTCTTAAGAATGGGATGAGGTCCACGGCAAACAGTTTGAGATTGAAGCTGTGAGGATTTGAGGCTGTAACCATGGAGTCAGGTAGAACATTCCAAGCGTTGACCACTGTGTTGCTGAAGTCATATTTTCTGCAATCAGGTTTGAAGCAGTTTACCTTGAGTTTGTATTGATTGTTTGCCCATGTATTATTGTGGTTGAAACTGAAGAAATCATTGACAGGCAAGATGTTGTAGCAGACAATTTTGTGTACTATGCTTAGGTCAGACTGCAAGCGGTGTAGTTCCAGATTGTCCAAGCCCAAAATTTCAAGCCTGGAGGCATAGGGAATTCTATTGTGAGTAGAGGAGTGGAGTATCTTCTCGAGAAATACCTCTGAACCCACTCAATTGTGTTAATGTCCGATATACAGTGTGGGTTCCAGACGGACGAGCTGTATTCAAGAATTTGGTGGTCACAATTTATTTAAAGGAATAATACAGCCATGCCTATAGCATTGATAACATTGAAAACCAGCAGCCTGAACTGCATTTGGAAATAAATAGTATCTAATACACTTTCTGTATAGGATCCCAGAGGACTACAACTTCAAGTCTCTAATACCATTAGTACAGCAGTCAATTGCCCTCATCACTGCCCCCTTTAGTCATCCACTAGGGTCTTCCCCACATTTATTCATCTTCTAGTGGTAGTCCTTTTTCAACCCGCCTAAGCAGAATTAGTAGTTAGGCTAATACATGACATATTAGCCTAACTACTATAATTTTTAGTGAGAGAATTAACTTCAGAGGAGAGCAAATGGACCAGGGGAATTATGGTTAAGAGGGATTGATTAACCTTTTCTCTGAATATGATTTCTTAAGTTCAGTTTCTTCTGTGATTGTTCTTTCTGCTTTTAATCGATATTTGCACTGCTTCTGCTTTTCTTCCTTTGTTTTCTTTCACACTTCCAGTTAGGAAAAAGATAAAGGTGATGGAGAAATTTTGGAGAAAAAATATTCTGAATGACATCACATCCTATGTGTTATATTGATGAATGCATGTATGTTTGCATGCATGTTGTGTGAAACATTATGGAAAAGAAGCAGCCTCATTTGAGGTTCAGTTCAGGAAGCTGCTTGCTTGGACTGAATCCTGAACAGTGTATGTGTCTGTTGGATTGGACTGAAAAAAAGAGCCTATTATGATGTCCAGCTGACTAGTTTTTAACTGACAAATTCAATCAGCAAATAGCCTACGAGTCAAAGACAAAGCAATATAGCATTGTAATACTAATCTCCAGTAAGCCAAGTTGCAAATACTGCATATATACATACATGTCCTTCGCGAATATGAATATAGAGCTGTTCTCATAAGTGAGTAACATGATTGTGACATCTTCATGGCAAAAGGTCTGCATACATTCACCCAACCTACAGAAATAAAGCATTCCTTGGTTTCTGAAATCTCCAGCTATTCCGATTAGGAGGATCCACCAATATATACACTAAACTCATTTAATTAATGAATCCTAGCTGCAAAGAAATGGATTTGGGAGTACTAAATGAAACTTGATTCTGGCTGACTACAGAATCTTCCTAGTTTACTTTTTCTCTTTTATGCAGGACTGTGAATTGACAGCAAATGAACTTCAGACCATTTTGAATAGAGTCATAACAAAAAGTAAGTTGCAACTGATTTCAGGAAATAATGCAGAATTTCCAGAACTACTCCCTGATCCCTCAAGCATCCCTTTTGGCTTTAAAAATTCTAAAATGACTTTGACCTTTTAAAACATGACATAGGATTTTAAAAGAACCTTCTGAACAGATTATAGTATAACATCCTATTAGTCGCTCCAGGCCAATATAAAATTAACTTGTTTATTGGCTATAGGGTTTCTCTTTTTATGTGTAATATTTCTCTTTTATTTGTAAGTTGCCGAGAATCAAGGAGGCAGGCAGCTTTGAAATTGGACATATTAGTCTTTATCGTCTAATAGAAATTCCCAGTTACCAATTTCCTTCAAAAACAATACTCCTCAAAATATCTGTTCTCCTATTTCACCTTTCCTGGACTTCTTGTTTTCTGGGATTCCAGTGAATTGTTTCTGAGAGTACTAGCGCCATAGAACTGTTTTCCAGATTCAGCACACAGATTCTGTTTCTCTTTAAAGAAGTAAACCCTTTTTCTATCATTGGGAGGGAATGTGTTGTCTGTGCATGCCTGTGACAAAAAGCCATATCTCAACCGTTGGGATGCCTATCCCTAATCTGTTCCCTAGGAACGTTTGAGCTTTTTCGGCAAGAAAATAAGTTAGTTATTTTACACACAAACACACACACACACACACACACTCAAGGTAAAAATTTTCTAGGTCATCTCTTCAAATTCCTTTTGTTTTTGTTAAAATTACCAAAAATAATGTTAAAACTGTTTTGTAACGAAATGGAAATTGCTAGGTAACTGTCTTGACACCAGTATTCATGTGATCTTTCTCCTGAAAGGTATTTTTCTTCAAAATGAGCTAATAAAAAAGCTTTTTTTTTTTTTTGCTTCAACTGGAGAGATTAACATGCCTGAAGATCTTGTGTTACCATGGGATGCAGAAAAATATTTGAATAACATTTTTTTGTCTCTTTTATTGTATAGGAATAGACATTAAAAGTGATGGATTCAACATAAACACCTGCAGGGAGATGATCAGTCTCTTAGATGTATCTTTTAAATGTCACCTTTCTCCACTGGATTTCCCTTGTGAACTTTTGCCTAGATAAGCCAAGATTTACACATCTCATTTCTGGTGCATCTGGTGCATTTATGCTGTTGGCATAAAATGTAAAGTAGAATGCTGATTTAAACAGTCTAGTAGCAAGGATAGTAAAACTTTATTATCAGCTGCATGGTTGTTTTCTTGCTGACTTATATTCATGTTCTTCCTGAATTCTGCAATCATCTCTTGTGCACTAAACAACTGTTACCCATGTTGTTCTGCATAATCTAAATGTAATTGTAATGAGTTCATGTCACATACATTCTTTTTGTGTGTGTACATAATAAAAATAAACAGAGAGGTCTGAAAAATCATAAGTAGTTCTAAAAATTCACTTATCACATAGTAACAGGATTGTAATCATTAATCCTAAACCACGTTTCCAATCTGATAAAATCCAAATGGACTTGAGCACCTAGAAAGTAGATTTTAATGTTTGTCTTTTACGAAAAGATTTTCAGGGGGTGGTTGGTTCTTCCTGGTCCCAAAATACAATCCATCTGGTTCTACAGCACTATAATCATTTTTCAAATTGAGTCCAGGTCTGATCAACCCACTTTTATTATTATTTTTAAATAGCAACAGGAAGAATGTTATCTTATATGTGGTGAAATTACAGAATTATGTGCCTACATGAACTATGCATTTTTATTGGGATCAGAATGTCTTGTTTAAAAATATAAAAAAAAGCATTAAGAAAAATGTGTTTGAAATTTTGAATTAGACCTTAATACTATCCAGAACCATGGAACTGGTACCCTGGGACTTGTAGAATTCAAGATCCTTTGGATGAAGATTCAGAAATATCTGGTAAAAAGCAAACTGGTCCTTCCTAAATATGATGTCATCTTTGATAATTACTTAAACTGAAAAAAAAAACTGAGCAGTAAAGCACTAATTTGAGATAAGGTTTTGAGATATACATTTTATTCATGCTATGAATAAAATCTTATTAGTTTTGTTTCCAAATTGAATAGAGTTGTCTTACATCTGGCACTTAGGTCAGCAAGAGAGGGTAGGAAATGATCTGTGTTGCTAATTTTGCAGATCAGCTGACAACTTGGTTAAATCCTATGAAATTTTGGCAGGACAACTAATCACACATCTTCATCAGTAAAGATACCAGCAATTTGATATACCAATGAAAAATACCCTACTAAATTAACAGGTCAGAATAGCTTTTAAATGTATAGTTGGATAAGAAACCTTTTGAGCTGGGAAAAAAGAGCTGTCTATTGTTCCTTTCAAGTGTTTCCCTCAGTTCTGCATCACAGTCTTTGGCAGAGAAGGGGGTTATTTCTCAAAGGCCACTTCATCATCTGACTTGTAAGCAACTTGAGTTATGGGAATCACTTCCCAGGACACACAGCTTGTCATGAGGTAATTGAATTTTCACTCCACCATTCAGTCTTAACAGAAACAACTATCTCTCCTGCCTGGTTGGACCAGCTATTAATATCTTAGCTGACCTGATATATCTACAGTTAGGCTGAAAGAGCTGACAATAGCTTTTCTCTCTCTCTCTTTTGGTCTAGGAAATCTATAAAAAAGTAGATACGAACTATTCTGGAACCATAGATGCACATGAAATGAGAAATGCTCTCAAGGAAGCAGGTATGTTTGTGAATGGTCAGTTTTCCCCCTCCTTTTCTCTCCAGGAAATGTTCTAGAAAAGATGGCTGTGAATCTGCAGCAGAATCCAACTGGCTTGCAAAGAATTATGGGATGTAATTTATTAACGACTGCAGATCATAACAACCTAGCATACCATCGTCATCATTCAACATTATCCCCCTACCCTAGGTCCTTGGGAAGGATTTGATGGGTGGATAAAAATGCCAGATCCAGTCTAAATTTTTGGGTGATTATGTGACCAACCAAAAGAATGCTAACAAGAAATGTGACAATTTAGAACATACACATTTTTAAGTAAGGGCAACTTGACAGCTAATAAATGACATCATGTCCATGAAAAGGTTATTCATTCATTCTGCATCTGATTCGTTGATTTTACCTGTCATCAAGTGTTTTTTTTCCTGGCATAATTGTAGATAGGACAGTAGGGGGACATACTTACTTGGACCAAGAATATTTTCCCCTAGACTTTCCTCTAAAGCTGACCTCCCTCTGTTGTTCTCCAGCTGCTCCCCTCTTTGACAAATATGCTATTTTTAATCTGTGCATTTAGGCAGCTTGGAAGATACAGTCCACTCTTCCATAGAACTGTATACATGGATCTCTGAATCAGGGCCCTTCATATACAAAGGAGCTCCATGTAGCTATCAAAATATATGACCAGTTATTTCCCACATGTGTTTTATTGCTTGCCTCCCTCTGCAGGAGCCCATGTGTCTCCTTATGAGTACAGAACATGCAATTGTCATTCATCTGTCTCACTCTGAAGTTCACTACATGACAGTTTAATAATTAGGAACTTTTTAAAAAGAGCTCCTAATTATTAAATTAATTAAATACTTTGTTAACCTTTTAATTGCACCCAGTTTTCATATAATATATCATGCATTGAAAAAAAACAACCTCCCTGGGTTACAGTGAAATAAACTTCTAGTATGATATGTTACAAATGTTCTAAGCAATGACCCCAAATTGGGTCTGCAAGCAAGATGTCTGCTTACTTTTCTTGTGCGCTTTCTTTTGTATGGTGGCAAGAAAGCTCCACTTCATATTCATATTCAGTACAGCAAATCAGTGCACATTGGGATGCAGGGCCAGCCTGAATGGCCCTGTTCCACTTATCCTTGAATTAGTGCCTGGAACAGAGTGACAGAGTGGAAATATATTGTAGCTTTATATATCATAATCATTGGATCAATTAGAAGTATATATTTCTGCCAACTAAGAAGAATAATTCACGCATTGGATTCCAGCTAGGCCCTAACAGCTAATGGTATTTTATCTTCAAAGTGCCTCAGAACTCTTTGTACAGAGAAAAAGTATCCATTCAGGGGGAAAAAAGAGTTTCTCCAGAGGGAAAATGCTGACGTTCAGTAAATGCATCTATCTATCTAGACCAGCAAATGATAGCTGCAGCTGGCACTTAAATTAAGCTTCAAACACTGGAAAAAGTGTGTTTTGTATGAAACTGACTCCCTGCAACCAGAGGTCCCATTTCACTGGACTGGATGCATCAAAGCTACTCTAATTAGGTACTTATCCTTCAAAGAGAAGAACAGAGAAAATCCTGTGAAATAGCTTATGATGCATTCCTCTTCAAGACTTGATGAGTGAGTTTAAGGTCCATGACTGGTTCAGAAGAAAAGATGTGAGATAATAGAGCAAATATTATATTATAGAGCAAACTTCTTCAGCCTAGCACTCTTCAGATGGGTTGGGATTAGAATTCCTAAATGCTCAGTTTTATATAGCAAGTACATTGGGAGCTGGAGATATTGAGGCATAACAGTTGATGAACACTCTGAAAATCTTCACTTGTTCTTCCAGGACTCTGAATCCTCAAATTTTCTATCTGCAGCAGGTAGAAAATGCTAACAGGTGTGCTTTCTCACCTTATTGTTGTACTGTGATGGAAAAAAATGATTCCACCATTACAATTTGCAAAATGAACCTTTCTCCAAAGCATTGGCTTGCCTCTGCAGTATCCTAAATTCAGATTGACAATACAAGCTATCATGATTTCTATCTACATTCTTTCTACATAATAAATCATACTATGAATTAACATGATAATTAGTTCATAGAACATACTGCAATGATGGGGAATTTCCACAACATGTTGCCCAGCTGAATTTTTGCTTGATCGAGTTCAGTGCTGAGTGTGCAAGAGAGACTAAAGGCTCATCCACACAGCCCCCTTGACTACTTCCCACATTTCATGAGTCAGGAGGAAAGTATGTTACTGGGAAATCTGCTGCCCCATGAGCCCTAAACATAGATGCCCCTAACCTTTCTTGAAATATGTAACCCCCAGGTTGCTAGTAGCAGGTATAATTTCCTTCTAGCTTTTCATATTCTGCCAGTGCAGACTAATGCTTTTGTGGACATGGTGTGGACTGGATTCAAGAAACTGGCCAATTGCACCAGGGATTGAACATAATCTATTCAAAGTTTGTTTCCAATATTTAAAATAAATCAATTGAGTGATATTTGTCAATCAAGAAAATCAAATAATAAAGTAAGAATAAGTATCCCAAGTATACTGAAAGTTGAGTCATGATAACTGGGCTTATTTTCTTGTTGGTGTGAGATGTTTCATTGCTCCATTAAGAAGCTTCATCCGTCAGAGAAAACGTTAGGGAGTTCATTGACATACTCACATGCACTTTGGGGAAGAAACCCCTGAGGTTGGTACGGGAGGAGTTGGTACATTACAAGTCTCTGCCTAACTGACTTGCTCTGACTGATGAAGCTGCTTGGATGAGCAGCGAAACATCTCAAATCAACCAGAAAATCAGTCCAGTTGCCATGACTCAACACTCAAACAACTTTACCTGGATGACTTAGAATCTTCATCAATACATTTATCCCAAGAATATTTTCATTCTTTTGGACCACCCCATGCATTTAATGAAATGACCTGCAGCTGATGAAAATACATTTAATAAAATATATTCATTCTTTTACATTTTCCTATTCACGCCTCTGTCCTGGTGCATTCAGTGAACAAAAATCAGTGGAGACAAAAATAGAAGTGAGACTAAAGTAAACATTCTACTCACAAGCCTCCAAGTCTTACAAAACCCCAGTAAGACCTACTTTTAAAATTAACATATTTTCCTCAACCTGGTTTCCTCTGGGTGTATTATACCTCAGAACTTATAAAAAACAATCAACAGTGGCCGGCTGGCTGAAAGTCCTAATAATTGCATTCCCAAATTATCAGAAGAGCTTCATATTGGGGACAGTTTTGCAAGAATATACATACCTATCAGTAGGAATAATCACCCAGAATATCTAAAATTCTGGGTGGGCAATTCTGGGAGTTGAGGTCCACACATCTTAAAGTGGTCAACTTTGAAAAACGTTGTTCAATCTAAACTGTACTGAACTGGCAGAATTAAATCATGGAGATCAGCACAGTCACATGCCCATGTTTTAATTACGCGTTTTCCTTCTCCACAGGTTTCACTCTCAGCAACAAAATCCAGCAAAGTATAATTATTCGTTATGCCTGCAGTAAGCTGGCCATTGACTTTGATGGCTTTGTGGCCTGTATGATTCGTCTAGAATGCTTGTTCAGTAAGTATTCCTGAAAGAAGAATGGGGGGAAAAAAATCTGCTCCTGCTTTACATCTCCTAGCAAGAATTTTTTACTAATAGGTGAAAGGTTTTTCACCTGAGTGCAAAAATACCTGTGTCAGTGATAGAAAGCTATTGTAAAATGTTTCTAATTTATTATATATATTACATTAGATGAACAGGGCAAATTCCCAGACACATTCTATCTGATAAAGCTGATACAGGCACATATTGAAAACACATTATTCTTTTATAAAGTTCCAACCGAGCTAATAGCAGCTACCTAAGATACTGATTGCAATATTTTATTCTGAGATCAGTGTTATTATTTAAAAGTTTGAAGGTCCAACATATTTGCAATTGAAGAGCAATTTGTTATAATATATGGGAAAGCTTTTGGAGATTTAAAAAGGGGAAATCACGACAGAGAATTTATATAATACATGCACAGAACCTCATGTATACACAATGGCATCCAAGTTAAAAGTTTTCCACTTGAACAAATCAGTGAGTCAATTTGATTAAAGCCCAAGGCCTGCCTGATCTCTACATTTGAAGTTAGGAGCAACATCTTCCTCAGGGCCTTTTAGTTTTGGTTATTGGATGAAATCGCTCTTGTTCTCTTGATTAGTCTGTCTGACCCAATTTACTTTAATGATACAACTTTTCAGTTAACCCTGCACTGGAAGATCTTTATAGAGGTTTTAGGTAATACTGCTCTTTGACAAAAAAAGTAAAATGAAGTTCACATTGCCATCTTAATTCTAAAACTTACATAAGGAGTAAAGAGTTTGGGCACATTATAGAAGAAACCTTCCGGTTTGCTTTTCCCCATATAAACATATATGACTATTGTATAAAACCGTATCTAGAAGTAGTCTAACTAAAGATTCCGAAGGCCAAGTTTTAATTACTTCCGTTCATCCTTAGTTATTCATTTTTGGCTTACAATGCGTTTTTGGCTTATCACACATTAAATCTAACGTCTGCTCTTGTTTCGTTGCTCAGAAATGTTTCAGATACTAGATAAGGATAAGGATGGAGCAGTTCAGCTTTCTTTGACAGAGGTAAGTTTGCTTTAGTAAACTGTATGGCTAAAATATTACAGAGTGATAATATGATATTACTATCAAATCACCATAACTGCAAAGTAGTTCCAATTACAATGCTTACCAGCCTGCCACTCACGCAAATGGAGTGTGCGTGCCTGCTATGCTCACCTGCTGCTCGTGTTTGGGGATGCGCATGCACACACACTCACCTGCTGTTTCTGTGCCCCGGTTGCAAACACCTCACAGTCCACTAGTAGGCTGCGACCCAGAGGTTGGAGACTCCTGCCCTAGCAGACAGATCTAATTCCCCAGCAAGCAGAACCCACAGTATGCCTTCTTTGCCAGACCTGATAAGGTGGATAGCTGTAACTGGGGAGAGAGCATATTGCAAATAGCACTGAGAAAGGCCGTACTCTGACATAATTAAGAAAACAATAATGAAAAATACAGAAAGAGGTGCCTTCACTAAAGACGTATTACAGCAGTTGATGACCAGAAGAAAAAAGACTGCACAATTTATAAAAAAGACTTGATAATAGCACTACTAAATGTTGGTGCTGCAATCAAAAGGAGCCCTGGAAATTGTAAAAGGACTATGGGTTGCCTAGCACTTGTTAATTGATTATAAATTTGGTTCGATGTTCAAAAGATCTCTACCAGCAAGTGAGGAAATATCGCAATAGTAAATTCTGTGAAACTTTAAGTAAGCAACTGTGTATTATCCTAATTCTTATATTCTCTCTCTCCCTTAGTGGCTGTGTTGTGCATTGATCTAAATAAGCATTATTTTTTGGCAATAATTTGGAAACTGGACAAACTTACGATTCCACCATGATGTTTCTGAGAAAAAAGCTGATTCCATGACCTTCTCAAAATATGAGGAACTATGTCAGGCTCTAGTGTATAATTTAATAAAATTAACATAAAATAAACAATTATGCATAGAAACAAATATTGTATAGCAAGCATAGCCACATTAGCAGCTTTGATTTAATAAACAATGTGTCATGAAATCTATGTTTCAAAACTGTGATTGAAATTGAATTCATCTCTAATTTTATTTCTATATAAAAATAATTCATTTGCCTATATTTTGCACCTATCAGAAAGCTGTATGCCTTGCCTAAGAATAGAAACTGATTTATAAAATATCTAGTATTTCTATTTTCCAAACTGGGAGATCATCCATCCTGGAGGAGAAGGAAGATGAAAATTAAATGAGCTGGAGAATATCACGGGCTTAGGGCCAGATAGCCTTACCCGAAAGCATAAATAATTGGCAAAAGTCTAATGTGATGTTTAGTTAAAAATATTGAAATACATGAAACAAAATGGAAGAGATCTGAACAGGATCAGGAGATTAGAATAACCCCCAAACAGAAACTGACCTTCCTAACAACAAGAACAAGAACAATCTAGCACAATAGTGCTAGACCTTAAAAGGAAGGATAATGAGAATTAAGAAGGATTATAAAAAAATATCCTACTACTGAAACTACTTTTTGGCTAATCAAAAAACAAAAGAATCCTAGTAAATTGTGAAAGGGAAGCAAATTAAACCATCCCATTAGGCCTCCTCACAGGAAGAACCAAGGAATTGTGCAAAGGAAAGCATAATTTAAAAATCTGATTAATACAGCAAGTTAAGACCAGCAAATCACAGATACAAATAACTCTTACTAGGAGAATCTGCTAAAATGAACAAAGCCACATAGATCATATAGAATTTGTGGCGTCATGTCATCATATGACATATCATGACATTTCCCCCCTTCATGGAGCTGGGGTGGGCGTGGCCTATGTGTGACCCATCCAGCCCATGGGCTACCAGTTTGACACCACTGACATAGAGCAAATCAAATCTTTGTAATGGTAAAAAGCAGCATAAGGAGAGTGAGGCACAATCAGTTGAAAAGCATGTAAAATACATCAGAATCTTAAAATGATGTTAATTATACATAAAGCAAAATCACAATAAAAAGGGAGTCTTTCAGAAGTTATTCAAGGGTGTTGGAATTGATTCATCCCAGCTACCCTTATTATAGGGGCATTTTCATTTGAATGAACGTTTACCAATCATCATGTGAAATAAAATATAATATCCTTAGAATTGCTCCTGTCTTCATTGTACTCCATCAGTGTTTGAGAAAGTACTTTAAAAAGTGTATGACTCCAAAGGATGGAAAATCAGGAAAGGAATTTAGTAGAAATCCAAATACAGACTGGAGTTTAGTTGGGTTGAACCATTTTGCTCTAGGCTGTTGAAAAATCCATCCAAATCATTCATTCATTCATTATAATTTTGTCTAATATTTCTTCCAGGAGATCCTGGTAATGTACATATTCTCCCTTCCTCTACCTTTTCCCTGCAGTAATTCCTTGAAGTAAGTTTAGGTTGTGAGACTGGCTCAAAGTTAACACAAATAGGACTCACACAGTATCTAGCAAGAACAATTTTGTTTTTTTACAATGCTCAATAATAACATATAAATTATTTTATTCCAGAAGTAAAAATTGGAATGTTTAAGCTATATGTTATAGTTGTAATTTATTTCCCATATCAAAATGTTATTGATTTTCAGGAACTGAAATAAGACTTTGAAAATTAGTCAAGCCAGGCACAAAAGTGCATGATCCATTGTGTTAGGCTTAGATTAGAACACTTCCAGTGGTGGGATTCAAAAACTTTTACCACCAGTTCGGTGGGCGTGGTGTGATGGGCGCGCTTTGCACGCGTGCATGCACTTTGCGTGCATGCGCATGCCAAACACAGAGGCACAGGCACAGAGGCATTTGCGCAGGCACAGAGGCATTTGCGCAGGCACAGAGGCGTTCCAACTCGCCTCCTGCAAGCCTGCGCTCTCCCAGTCGTTTCAGCAGCTGCCGCGCAGCACTCTTCTGTGCCGCGCAAAGCAGCTGCGTTTCAAAAGCAGAAGATAAAGGTGAGTATGGGAGCCTGGGTGGGAGGGTGGGCCAAGCAGCAGAGCGGCAAAGAGAAGTGGTTCGGTCTCCGCAGCTCATCGCCGCTACTGGCTCAGCAGAACCAGGCCGAATCGGTAGCATACCACCACTGAACACTTCCCATAATTCAAGGATATGATTGAGTAAGTAGTGAAGGTTGCCTGTAATTCATCCATTAAGCACTACCTAGCCTGGATGGAGAGTATAGCTAACACAACATTACCCAGCATTGTTCAGGACCAAGGGAATCTCTTTCCCCCATTTTCCTTTCCAGTTCTGCAACACAAGAAACAATCTCGAATTACTCTTCCGCTCCCACATCTAAAAATCCTTTGGCAGATATGACTAGATTCAAACATACAAAATAGGAGCTCTTTCTCCTTGCTTCTCAGCCTCCTTAGGCAGGTTATTTTAATTGCATGATTCTCTACATCTATCTCTAGGCTCCCTCATGCCCACTTGGATGCGCAGAGCAGAGTGCAGCACTCCATTCTCCCTTATCTTTGGAAGGCAGGAAGTACTGCTCCTTCAGCGGTGCTTTGATCACTGGTGTCAACAACTGCTGAAAACCAAATCCTTTTCACTGCATCTCCTTTCCCTTTCCTCTTGAGGCTGCATCCAGGAGAAACTGATTGGGGCTGCATGTGTCTTTTCCTCACAAAACAAACTCAACTGCTTATCATTCTCTCTTCTGCCTTAGCTTTTAAAAGATGCTTCTCCCAAAATGCATACAAGCTGCTTCAGGGATACAGCAGCAGCAGAATGGAGTGCGCTGAAGGGTAGACACAAGAACTTCCAATCTCTTAGGATCTGAATAGATAATTGGAAACTAAATTCTATATCTCACCCTACCTCTCAAGTCTTACTATATATGGAAACGCAATGACTGCACAGTTTTTCAATGGGCAGGCTATGAACCAAAGAAAGAAATAGATTCTGGTCTATTAGAAAGAACTTCCTAATGGTGTGAGGAGCAGACTGTCTTGAGGAAATGTAATGACCTCTCAAGCAGAGGCTGTATAAGCTACTTATTGTGTTGCTTCTGGATTTTCTGCCTCAGAAAATTAGAACTGATTCTGAGCTACATGGATAGATTCTGAGGTCTAGGGCTCTCTAGACCAGGGGTCTCCAACCTTGACAACTTTAAGCCTGGAGGACTTCAACTCCCAGAATCCCCCAGCCAGCTTTGCTGGCTGGGGAATTCTGGGAGTTGAAGTCCTCCAGGCTTAAAGTTGCTAAGGTTGGAGACCCCTGCTCTAGA